GTGTCTGTGTCTGGTCTTTTGAGACGGAGAGAGGGCGAGAGAGATAGAGAGCGAGAGAGACAGAGAGCAAGAGAGAGACACAGAGAGAGAGAGAGAGAGAGAGAGAGAGAGTAAGTGAGTGAGTGTGAGTGAGTGCGAGTGATTGCGAGTGAGATAGAGAGAGAGAGTCAGAAAATGAGTTAGAGGACGGCAGAGCGGGGATAAAGGCCGCCAAATAGTTCCTGTACACATTGGAAACTTCCCCACAGCTTCTTTTGGCCAGAGCTCATTGACGTGCAAGGGATAACGGAACAAGACTTCGAGACGGAATGTAAGGCAATCAGAGAGGAATCGCAAGAGCTGATGCCATTGACGAGCTATGCTGCTCGATGCCATCAGCTCGTGCCGCTGTGCTGGGGCTCACGCTTGCTCGGAATTTGCAAGTCTCGAAGGTCACGAAGCCTGGACGGTGACCCACTGCCCTCTGCGACTTCGACTGATCGAAGCTTCCACGCCTTGCAAGTGCCGCGCGCTGCGCAGGCGACGCGCCTGGGCCCATGGGAGCCGAGAAGAAGGGGTCGAGGCTTCCAAGCAGGCGGAGACTTTGAGACTTCAGACTTCCGCTGACCGCTCGGGAGAGCCGGGAGCCCCGGCTGCCAGCCAGGTTGAACTTGGGCATGGTCGACTCGTACTCGGCCATGAGTCCCCCTCCCCGCTTCCTGGAGTCTGCGCAGCGCAACGCCTGTCGCCCTGTCACCGTCGCCCTGTCCTGCCCATGTCCGGCGAAGTCGGCATCGGGGACTTCCTCAAGAGGAATCGCCACCAAGTTATCCCACACAGCGAACAAGAGAGAACTGTCCGTCCTCGCCATCCTCTCATTTTCGCTCTGCGTCGCCTGAGGCATGCTGCTCTGCTTCCCGTGACAAGGGCCTCGTACATGGATCTGCCCGTGAGATGGACGCCACCTTCTTGATGGCTGATGCAGAGACTGGCGACTCCTGCCAGCCCAGGTTGAACCCATTCACCGGACAGGTGCAGATAACTGTACAGAGCACCTTCCCAAGCGGAGGCGTCGGTGCACGAAGAGACTGCGAGGACATCGGCCGGAAAGTGACCTGACAAAGCATCACCGGAAGACTGAGTTCAAGGCGAGTTGCTGCAGCGCCTTGTTGGGTGTCCTTGGAGGGACACCGTTCAATTCACTTCTCAAGCAGCTTCTGGATTGTCCAAGCCACCCATCCGGCGATTGGCTCGGGGGAGACGGCGACGAGGATTTAATCTGGGGTATATACTCCTCCTCGGAGAGTGGGGCACGATGTCAATGTACCATGTCAAAGCTTCAGGATAACTTCAGCGAGACCGTCCTCGTCATCCGCTTCCTCGAAATCTTCGTCGTACTCAATATCATCGTCCACTTCTTCCTGGAAATGCCCAGCAGCTGGGACTGATCATTCCATCACCACCGGAACTCCCCAAGACAGCACTCAGAACGGGATTATTCCATGGCACGATGAATGTAAGACATGCATTGGACGTACCTGGCCCAGGATGGCCAGGCGGCTCGGAGCAAACTGACTACATAGCTCCTGGTGCTTTCAAATATTCGATGGCCTTCGGCTCCGCCAATCCTGCAGGCCAACCTCCCTGATGCCACACGACAGAAAGCAAGGCTGACTTTAGACGGAGACGCAGACCTGCCGTAAAGAAGTAACTTGCTACCGGAGGAGAGCTGCAGAATTGAATGGCCTGGGTGAAACGTTACAAAGGGGTCTCTACAGAAGATACGGCGTGCTCGAAACCTCGAAACCTCTGGCGATCTGCAGAGGTCAAACCAGAAAGGAAATGAAAGCGAGCTGCTACTGCAAATCTGCACATATGTCCACGCAGCATTCAGAAGTCAAAATCACTTCCTGGCTGAGGATGCCGTCCAGATCCTCCTATGTCCTCAGATGACGGAAGTCACAAAAGTTGACGCCTGCCTCGAGCCCTTCGTCGAGCAGCCTCATCAGACAGCTCCTCCTCATCAGACTCATTCAGTATGTCATCATCGGACCTCGAAGCACGATGAGACTTGCTCATCCCTAGTCTCAGAACTAACAATTCATTGCTTCCATGTTTAGAATCCTTGCATCATGGCGAGTTCTGATATACCTTGATTCATAAAGGTGAACAGCAAGTCTTTTTGCAGCTTCGCTGGCACGCTGTTTCCACCGCCGATGAGCACCGAGCCGTCAGGAGGCGATACAGCACCTGTGTGCCGACCATGGTAACGTCGAGCTACGAGCATGCAGCTCCACAATCCGCCCCAGTCTTGTGCCAGGGAGCGTTCGCGCTCAGGTCCGAGGACACCACCACGCGGCCCTGGGCCCAATCCACCAGAGTCCTCCGAGCCTTTGCACTTGAAGGACATATGCGCTGCATCGAAACGGCCCTCCAGAGATCAGCCGAGCCACCACCCACACTTATTGGCGGGTCACTGTCACTGTTGGAGCCTTCAGATGACTCCTGGCCGAGATGTACGGCACGGAGCACCCTGTTGGCACGGGTTTCTTAGTCCACAGGGCCTCGTCATCCCCAGCTTCCATGGAGCCGTCCACAGCATCCACTGCTGACGGAGGCATCCACCTTTACTGAAGCTGCAACCATTCGACCAGTGCTCCGTGCCGGAAGAGGTACCACGCCTCTTTTGGCCGTGGATCTTCTTCGGCTTTCGTGCTTTCCCCTTATCATCCTCACCGGTTAGGGACACTTTGAAAACGAAACCCCAGGTAGCTTGGGCCCTGCCCTCCCCTCACGCAGCAGGCAAGCGCTCTCCATGGCTGAAAGCTGCAGAACCTGGGGCCACCTAGATGGCAGCTGCACCTGGCCACGGACCGGTCCTCCTCTCCACGGAGCAATCTCCACTCCTCATCGCGAAGGCGCTTCTGCATACCTCACACGTCAAGGGTGGCCGAGATCCGAAAGGCTGGAGCTCCCAAGAAGTCTGCCAAGACACGCTTCAGTGCGCGGTCGTTCTCTTCCATTCGCTCTTGTTCCTGACGATCCAGTACGGCATGAAAGGCATCCACAAAACTAGTGACAGGTGAGAGCTGAAAGGCATCATGCCAGAAACTTTTCCAGAGTCTTCTGGCTACAGCTGTCCATGCCTCCTTGTTCAGCATATCGATTTCCTGCCATGTGCGAGGCTACAGAGTTGGTGCACCTCTTCGGCTCAGCTTTGATGCAGCTGACAACGTCAATCCAAGCAGCATGCTCCAAATAGTCGAGATTTCGAAAGCGACCGACATACCTTCACCGCACAGGCATACTATGAAGCCATTTAGATCCAACCCGCAGAAAAGATCTGCATGCGGTCCAGTTGTGCCGGGGCACTGCTCGTAATATCTCTCGAGTTCTTGTTCAAGCGTCTCGTACCTGGTCTACACCACACTTGCATTCAGCACCAGCTCAAAAAGTGCTAGTGATGTTTACTTCCTCTGCTTCTCGCTTCTGCTTGCGGCCACCGGGCTCGTCCATAAAGGCGGGCCGCACCGAAGCCAGGGAGCCTAGCCGTTTTCGGCAGCGCTCCAACTCCTCACGAAGGACGAGAACAAGAATGCATCTCACAGAGCGCCTCATAACTCCACATTCTCTGCCCGGGTCCTGCTTCTTCTTTTTGATCTTCTGCTCCAAACCTGGAAATGCCCCAGGCCGTCGATGCCTATCCGAACTGAAGGCGACTGGGATGCCGGCTCTTCTCATCTCGCTGGAGCTCGTCCGACATCTGCTTCAGCTGCTCGAGGTTCTGTCCATGGCTGCCAAGAAGCTGAGAAACCTCGGGTCCGGAGCGAAGCGGCAGCAAAGCAGCGGCAGCGACGAGTGCCTTCTGCGACCGGGGAGCGGCACGCTCGACCATCTCGTTCTCAGTGTTGCTGCCTCAGGCGAGCTTTCGCTGGGAGCAGGCGCATGCTCGTGGCAAGGCCGAGATGCCTAGATTGCGGGACATACCTTCCAAGAAATGCAAAGCTTTTTCTCGGTCTTGTCGTACCTCCTGCTCCTGACAAGCAAGGCCGGGCCAGTCTGTGAGAGCCTTCTAGATCTTCTAGGGCGCCCAGGGCCCAGCATGTCGTCCTTCTGTAGCAGTTCAAAGAGAGTCGCCCCACTTTCCACGATCTGCGAGCACAGGGAGCGGGTGCCTTAGCCACGGCCAAAAGCGAAAACGTTGCCAAAACGTGTAGGCGGCGTAGGCATGCTCAAGGGCGAGTCGCTCTTCAGGTCAGCTAACCTCAGACAGACCGGGTCCCAAACAAAACATGCATGCGCATCTTAGCAGCACATGCTCGGGGTCCCCTTTTGCCAGGCGGCTTCGAGTTCAGGGTGAAGTCTTCGCCGCGACCTTCTGCAGGCACTTCCGAAACAGATCTCTGCGCCTGACGTGCGCATACGCCAGGGAAGACCCAGTCAAGTTGCCCGAGGGTCTTGACTCTTGGCACGGACGAAATCAGCAATCATCCGCGAAACCGATACTACATGTCGGGTCGAGGAGCTAGACAGCAGAATCCGACAAAGCGATGGCTGGGTGCTCACAAATTTTCAACTCAACCAAGTTATCCCATGCGACCTCGTACAACACCTGTGCCAGGCGGAGCAGCTCCTGCCAGGCCAGAGCAGAAATCCAGGTCTTTGTAGAGCGGGGGGAGAACGGCCCGACTTGTAAGCCTTGACGGCATAGCCATCAGCGCCGTACAGCTTTTTGGGGTTGAGTTTGAGGCCGGTCTTCAGCACCACCTTCCTCGTCAGCAATCGATGCAGATTCGAGAGATGAAATGATGAGAAATCCCAAAATTCACACCGAGATGCTCAACCACCGACTTGATGAACAGGACTCTGTCCGCTTCGGTGCCTGAGTCGTCACAAGGCCGACTTCCTCATGCGCAAGAATTTTCCGGTCTTCCAGCCGAAGCACTGATGTCGTCCGGTATAGCGCATCCGGGCTCGAATCGATGCAGAAGCCAGTCCAAGACGTCGGCCACAAGCTCGAAATTTGGAGTTCCTTGGTGGCTGTGAGCGCTACGCTAAGCGGAGCCGCGCTTCTGGGGCTCAGAGGAGTTTCCACAAAAGATCTCTACTCTGCGGCTAAAACTGTAAGTGGAGGCCGAGTGACGGAAGTTATCCTGAGGCACGAGGGTCAGGCAGGAAGCACTTCAGATCTCAAACCGATTCAGCCCGTCGCGCGACATTCTTGCCAAGCTACCATGGAGACCAGCCGATGATACCCTAATGATCTCATGATCTCGCAGAAGTTCCGAAGTTCACGGAACGACATCCTTGATGGCAGCAGGCTGAGGCGACGCGGCTGCACAGAGAGCACTTCATTTTTGATGCAACTAGTGCCACTCCAAGCGTCTTGAGAATCGATTCGAGAATCAGAAAGGAAGGAGTGAAAGCTCGCCTTCACGCAGCCAGTGCCTATTGCATGGCTTTGGCCTGGCAACCTTTTGAGCCAAGCTTGGCAGAATCTAAACACCTTTTGAAGCATGCAAAGGCAATTCTTGTGTCACAAAAGCTGCAGAGCTTTAACCAACTTAGAGTGTGCAAGAGCCCAGGAAACGGCTGTCCAACCCAAAACAGCCGATTGCTTCCTCCGCAGGCTTTGGCGCAGGTGGAGCTGGAGCGTGAACCTCAATTTCCTTGTCGCCAGTACGGAGCTTCGATGTGGGGATCCACCCAACTGTCAGAAGTGGCTTAACCATCTCTGCCATGCTACCTCTTCAACGCCATCACAGCTACTCCGACTACTTCAGCCAGGTTCATGACACTGTCAGCCGGTCCGGTCATAACAATCGTCCTCCCCCTCTCGCCCGTCAGGAGCCCGAAAAGCAATGCAAGCCCCACATCTGAAAGGCCAGTCCTCCTCCACATGGGGCGCCTCCACCTGTGTCAGCGTCCGTTGCTCGTCAGGGAATCTACAAAGCCACCGGGGCCCGGGCTTTGCGGCCATTCGTTGGCCGCGCCGCGGGCGGCGCCTGGAAGAAGGAGAAAAGTGGATTTTTTTGTCCCCGCCGTGGCCGAGATTGGCTGAGCAGGGCAGCAGCGCCTGCGGCGGGCTGGCCTCCACCTCCGACGCCTCGGCAGAAACCGTGGCGGTGCCGACTTCCCAGAGCTCCAAAGCCGGGCGCCTCCTTGTGAGGCCGCCGTGGCTTCCTCTCTGCCCTCGCGGCGCAGCCACAAACAAGTGGTTCAGCCGGTTCTCGAAAGGCCCGGGAGCCTCTCTGCAGGCGGCGATGGTGCAGGCGCCTGAAATGCCACTCCAGGTGAGGGCATGGAACCGCGAGCTGAAAGCGGGGATGTCTTGGAGACGTCGAGATCTTCCAGCCTCCGGGGCTTCCTCCGGCGGCCGGGGCTCGCGGGACTCGCGAGGCTCCCGAACCTCGAGCTGCACAGGGGAATTGCTTCGGGACTCCCAAGGACATGGGCAGCTAAGCGAAGAGCAAATCAGCTTTTTTGCAAGCGGAATCATACGACAAAAACTGCGCCAGATGACTTGCAGGAAGACCAGGCCCAAACCAGAACAGCAGTAGCATCTGTCTGCAGTGAATGACACACTTGAAACATCCGGTTGATGGCCAGGGCACTGGCACAGGTAACATGACTTAGAATTACTAACGCGGTGCCTGTAGTTTCAAGAACGAAGAAGGATGCCTAGAGTGCCTAGAGTGAATAATCTAGACTACGACTCGAAAGAGGTTTTGCATGGGCAGCTCAGAATGGCAGCGAGGAATCAAGTCGGGCTGCCTCACCAACGTGCTTTGACTCGACATTGACTCTGCAATATGTGCACCAAAAGGGCAGCAGCACAGAGCCTTACAACCCGGGCACCATCGCTTAGAAGTATGGATGCCGCCCCAACTTGCAGCAACGCCTGGCCTATGGGATTTCGGAGCATTCATTCCTCCTCGGTCTTGGCCGGCTTGATGTAGCCCACATCCTGTGGTCCAAGTCTCACACGCCTCGTCAGTCGGAGACTGTCGGAGCTGCGCTCCTCGTAGATTCGGTTCATGTTCTCATGCGTCACGGAGGAGTACAAGGGGTCCTCCGACAGCACAACGCACACACACACACACACACTCTCACTCCCAAGTCTAGCACAAAGGGACATGCCGCATGCCGGTATGCCGGTGCCACTGCCGCCAACCATCTGAACGTAGCCAATCTTCAGACTGCTTGTGGTTGCAGCATCATTACACGGGTGGCAACTCTTCCATCGCTAGTCTGCCAAGTCCTCGATGGTGTAGCGAGGGATGGTCAGGATCCACAACCACGGGCGCCTGTTTGGAGACAAATGTTAGACTCAATGCTTGTCATGTACGTCGCGTACTGGTCCATCAACATAGGTGACTTACCACCCCGTCACCTCGCTCCCCACGACCGCAGAAAAATTCTGTGCTATTGGGATATCACTTTTCTCAGCAAGATTCGACTTGGCACACCAGATTCCGAGTTTGACATGCTATCCAGCATCCCGCTTTACGTCCCGCCGAACCGTCACGCCTCTCTTTCACCTTCTTCATACACAACAACTCCCACAAACGAAGAGACTGCTGCTGGCAAGCTAACAGCTGCGAAGAGCATCCACTGCTCGCAAGACTTTGTGAAAGTCTCCGACTGCCTGTCTGCCTGGGAGGCCTGGTCTCTGGTGCAAAGCCAAGTTTGCCTTTTTGAACCGCCTCCCTGCCTCAAGAAGGTGCACCACTTTGTAGCATTGCTCATTCTAGAAGCAGAGTCTGAATTTGGGTGGAGGCACAGACTCAGATCTCCCCAAGGCCGACGCGAAGACCGACAAACACAGCACATGCTACCACCCTACCCGATAAATCTCAAATTACTCTCCTCAAGGTCCGGTGAGAAATACTGGTCAATTACGGCACCGAGAGCATGCCGACGACTTGAAAAAAGCCCGAAACCAGAAGATGCTACGAGGCCAGATGATCGAGAAAGTCAGTTTCGCGACACGAGGTCGCCAGATACACTGATGCGTGACCTTGGTATACATCGGCATTGTTGTGTTGCTCAGATCAGCCCTTTCGCCCCGACTGAAGACAAACAAAAGATAGTGCGACGTGCAAGCCAACAAATGACGTCTCGAAACCGCATTCTAGAGAGAGCAAAACATAAATGAACATGGGCCATGGGGTCACACTTATCGGCACAAGTGAGCTTCCAAGGCTGTGCAGGTCCTGTGGCACTGCTTCCGGTTTGGGCGGTAGCCGAGGGGATGATAGTCGGCCCAGTCCGGCTCGTTGTCAATCATGCAGGCCCTGAAATCATTAGTTCGCATATTGATCATATTGCAGATTGTTGCACTGAGACCACTCGGCTTGGCTGCAGGCTTGTACTTGCAGCACATGTTGCCTCAGATCGGCCAGGCATCATCCTACACCCTCGTTGGTCAGCTCGTCGCTTAGATACACATCGCCCCGCTTAGAAGCGGCAAGATGACGCACCTTCGGAAAAGCCGAAAAGACGGGTGGCGCAGGCGGTGGTTGAAGAAAGGCAGGGAATAGGTCCACTGCCTTCGCCGTTCCGACAAAGCCCGAGCCACGAGACGGAGAGAGACATTGTGCAGTGTACTGTGTGCCCTGAGTGAGATTGCCACACGGTGCATGAATCAAACAACTGGACTTCGCAAACTATGTCGCATTCCCCACAGGATGCTTCCCCCTCCCATCTTTCGTTCCTCTAGTGTCGTGCTCTCGATCGAGAGCTTCGCAGCGTGTTCAGTGCATTTCAAGCGCCCTTCTGCCTGTGGCGGTCAGGCAGAGGCTTTCGCTTCTCCTGGAAGCGGAACATCACCTCGGCTAGGGACAAAGACGAGGAGAAGATCTCGGAGCCTCTTCCTGAAGCTGTGGATCGGACATCCGGGTTGAAGAAGATCCTCAGAGAAAGGAGAAGCCGACAGAAGGCTTCAAGCGACGGTTCCTCTAGCTCTGCACTTTGCTGAGACCTCAGGCTGGCGAGACAGGATGCCAATGCAGGCGCCGAATGCCGCAATGCTGATGAACCTCGTGGGGGGGGGTAGCATGAACCGCCCATAGCTCTCGTTGCAGAAACTCTTTGGTAGTTGTGAACGGCAAAAGCTGGGGCCCTCGGCCAGTAGTTGTAGGAGGGCGGATCCGCGAAGAATGCGCGGAGGTAGCTCTGAAAGAAGAAGTCCGCCAGCGTGGGATCCTTCGAAGAGCTTCAGCAACTCTAGTTATGCAGGTTTGGACAGTGCTTGCCGGCATCCCGTCTTCACACATAACTCTCCTGATAACTGAGGGCTGCACGGTCTGTGCCTTCAGCATCTGTGTGTAACGCTGCCGCAAGGAGAAGTGCGAGAAGTTTCCAACCCTTGGGCAACGATTTCGGAACGCTTTCGCGAGAATCACGAAATGCAGCCAACCCAAGCGAGGCACGCGGAGTAGGAGGTCAGATGCCCCGAGCGCAGGGCTCTCGACAAGAGCATCGCCATAGCCCTGTTGGCAGGGAGCAGCATCAGCAAATGCGACCGAATTGCCTGAATAGCCGGCCTGCAAAGCCAAAGGGTCGGAGAGCTCGCGGAACCAAGGAATGGCACAAGTGGCGACACCCAGAACGCCTTTGAAGTGAGCCAGAAGCAGCGGGACAAGCAGAGCGCATGCTCTCCGTGGTTCCACGACTCAAACTTCATCACAGTGGCTGCAGTGGTCCGAAAGCGTGCTACCGGATCGAGTTGGGATCCAGACACTGCGCTCTTTCTTCTCCTGCCACGGGCCGAGACCGCGCCGAGAAAACGGCCAACTGCCCGCGCCTTCTTCTCGCGGCGGTCCCGGTCCCCCTCATCACCTCGCCTGCAGACACTGCAGACAGGAGCTCGGCGGCTCAAGGCACTTCTCCAGTCTTGCTTGCATTCCTGTCTTTGCTATGCTCCCTGCATTCTCTTGCTACGGACAGGCTAAAGCGGCTAAAGCTGATGCCTTCACGCCTGGTCATCCTCTTGTGCTTCAAGCATTATTCGATCTGCTGAGAGGTTCATCTGTTGCGGAAGTTGCAGAGCTGTCAGTGGCAACAGCACAGCGTTCGAACCGGCCTCGAGCGGCGCTCGCGCTCCGGAGAGGGACCTAGGCCGCCAGTGGCAAAAGTCGAAGCTGAGACGAAAAGCGCCTCTCTGCTCTCGCTCTGCTCTCGCTCTGCTCTCGCTTTGCGAGGCCAGAGCCGCCCGGAGCCTCCAAGGCGAGATAGGACCATTGCAAGTGCTGGCAACTGCTGTCAGAGCCGAGCCTCTGGGCGTTCTCGAGGCACCTCCTGCAGAGGCACACTTTCGGATGGCCAGCAGATGGACAAGACGAGTAGTTTGCTTGCAGGATTTCTTTCCGAAAGATGACGTCGGCTGCTGTTGATAGCCCACCACAGACAGAAAGAGCTGCCGTCCCTCTGCGATTTGAATAGACTCCCGGACACTTGCCTCTGCATTGCGGGGTCGACGCTCACCATCGCTACCTTTTGGACGCGAGTCAGCACCTGTGAGGGGTGGGTGCTTGCTCTCAGCTGAAGCTGCGACAAGCATAAAACCAAGAGTGGAACGGGATGACGGGCGCTTCGGCATGTCTCGTGCAGCCTTCGGTACACCACAATTCGTGACTGTTGGCTTGATCCGTATGTCTTTGCAGAACAGCAACATACTTCACCCATGTGTCCCCTTCCAAGGACTTGACAGGTGCCGCAACATCAGGTCGCCTAAACGGTGCCCAGTTGAAGCTGTACAACCACAAGATGCTTGTGTGGCAACTCTCCTACACGCGCCGAGCTCGGCACTTCTCAGTGCAATCGGCAATGAGACTGTCCAGGTAGGACTCTTGATCCTTTCAGCTTCAGAGCCTCTGGGACTAGGACACTCGAACTTCAGAACCTGACCACGGGCCAGTGCCATGGAAGCGCCTATTCCGAAAATCATGAAGGACATCCAAACGAGCAAAGTGGCGCCGAGGCTTTCAGTCGCTATCATTATCGTGTGAAGATGTTCCCAAATCCTGCCGTGCCGGCGATACAGGCGACGTAGAGGAGGGCTTCTCTCGGCCGGGCTCTTTGAGGGATGCCTCCGACTGTGGCTCGGCTTCGGCCGCTAATTCCAGAAAGGCGGTCCAGCAGAGCCGACTTTTCGCGTTTCTCCACGTCACGCCAATCCACGCCACGTGCTCGAGTCATGCTCCGGACATCTTGTCGCCCGGAAAACCTTCTGTTCAAGCGCCGGGTCTAGTGGCGCTTGTTTTTCAGCGGCCGATGCCAGACCCTCCACGAGAAAACACGAAGATTGAATTCGGGCTCGAGAACTGGCTCGAGTCGCATGATCCCGCACTGCAGCGCCCTGCACGCTGAGTGAAGGTTAAATCTGCAAAGCAGCGCCGTTGTAATGCTCACGAGGGGACAGACACTGTCACGTCTCGGGCTTCGACTGCGGGCTCCGACGGGCGGAGAGCTTAAACGCGCCGCTGCGGTGGCTTTTCTCATGGAAGGACCTTGGCTGCGTCTCTGCGTGCACAACGGAAAGATTCAAGGTCTTCGATGCGTCCTCCAGAAATCTAGAAGCTGTTAATCTGTGCTGCTGCTTGTCCCTAGCTGGTGCAGTTGACATGAACCCGAATGCAGTTCCTGGCTTACCATGGGCCAACCCACCTCTCTCCCACGAACCGCCGTGTGGGACGGCGCACGCACCGGCTGTGAGAGTCCTGACAATGCTTACACACAGTTCAAGATGTTCAACAGAGCAAAAGGAAACAGTTTGTGGTGTTCGTTTAAGCTTCACTCAGTCCTTCGAATATCTCCGACAGGAAGAGCTTCGTGCTCTCCCAAGACCTCACATCCGCTCGCTGGTTGTACACAGCAACACCGGGATCATTTGCATACCAATTCGTAAATGTGTGCAGCACGTCGGAGCCGTAGCGCACGATCTCGAACGTTGCGTTTGCATCTTCGAACTCGCGCTCCAGCAAGGCAATGTCAGTTGCTAGATCATCCTGGACCCCAGAATGCAAAAGAACTTTCGCACGGACAGGACCTGTGCTATCGCTTCGCAGGACTCTGCGGTTTGGCTGGATGCCGGAGTGATAGCCAACGACTCCCAGCACATCTACTCCAAGGATAGCCATATTGACAATCCCGGTGCCGCCAAAGCAGTATCCGATGACCGCAATCTTAGAAGTGTCTACGAAGCTGTATGACTTCACTTGCTCTAAAGCTGCATTGATCTTCGACATGTAAAGTGTCGGATCGCCACGGTGCCTTCCAGCTGCCGCGGCCCAGTCGTCACGATCTTCAACAGGAGTGCCGCGGCCATAAATGTCTGCTGCAAATCCCACGTAGCCGAGATCAGCTAGCATACGCGCACGCTCCATTTCATAGTCGTCCATGCCGGTCCAGTCC